GTAAAATTTACTGGGTAGTTGTTTTATCTTCTAAATCCATTCATTGATTAGGATTTTTACTCAGCTATGATCAGTATGTAGATAACAAATAATCTGAATTGGATTTACGCAAATAAAGTAGATAATATAAGTGAGTTACATTAAGACAAGAAATAGAATTGTATATGAACTACCGATAGCAACCAATCAACTTTAAGTAGATATGAATGAAACTCGTACAAACTCGGACGACTTCAAGAAGAAAAATTTCTTATTATAGTCTTAGATAAGACTATTAATGCTATTATTAAAATTGGTTATTGGCTTACGGTGGAATCCAGGACCAGAATTTGTGACTGAAGGTTATCTCGAATCAGTTAACTCGGAATATATATACGCAAGTATCAAATGAACAGTTACTATCCTGAATATCGAAAATAGGAAATTACAAGTGTTTAAAGGAATTAAATTCGTACCCATTGAACATATTAGTTGTTATAAGGATTCATCAGCTCGTTGGACGCTTGAAGCTTAGGGTACTAGGTACGAGTTACGTTGTGACTATCAAAACTGGGACATAGGTACGTTTAGTTGACGAGTATCAAAAACGACGAAACGCGCGTCCCGGATGTACATATGCCAACAAAGACCGATGAAAGCCCAATCATATTATCAACAATAATTTAGTGCTATTAGTGGAATTATCACAGTCTATAGCTTACTTGACTGTTAGATTTTCCTAAAATGGCAATATCATCAGCTAAGCTATCTAATAACTGAGATCTAGTCAAGTTGCTATGTGTGCAGAACTAGTCAACCGAATAATAATTACTGGTTTGAGTTGAGATCTTGTTAAGCACTTTTGATCTCTAAATTGTCAAATATCACTTTTTATAATTCACCTTAAATAAAATAGTAATTTTGTGCAATGGTTTGCGAAGTTGATATACTTTTCATCAGAAGGAACTGTTTCATCTTAGCTTGAGAAAACTACTCAATAAGTGCACGAACATAACATTAATTGTGCAACAATCTAGAGGTTTAAAATTTTTTGCCAAGCATGTTGTCTGCTAAACCCTTGAGTAAACACTTCAGCCAGCTTACAATATAGCGCGATGTTTATTAAGTGCTGTCGTGTTGTGTTCTGCAATCTAATTCAGTTGTGATGCACACTTCCTACGGCAACCCATATCCACTATGCTACTGAGATGAGTAGGAAGGTATACTTACAAAGATCGAATGGTTGTGTATGTAGATTACAAGTGTATATATTTTCCCCTCTGTCGCAGTTAAGAACAACTGGGCTGACAATGACTAGGGAGTAATTTACTTCAACAAATAGCATGTCTCCTACTAAATGACATGACTATCTGGATTTGTGAAATGGTGTCATATGTCTAAATATGCCCAGTCTCCCGAAAAATCCCTTCCTTTATCTTGATTCATGGTAACAGTAAATCAACTACTTCAGATGGACAATATTTTCTTGTAGTTATTTTCATCTTGTGACTATTCTGCTCGACAGCTAAGACCAGCTGGTGGGAAGTCACATAGTAACAGCTGAAGACTCCATGATATATGCAGCTTTCGTCAGGTATATATCTGGTTCTCTCTGCATCAGCGGATATTTGAAGTACAACATGATTGTCTCCAAATTATTTCTAATGTCCAATAAAAGTGCTATAGCTAACATTTGTGGATGAATGATGAATATAAAAGCATGGTTTTCAACGAATACCTTATTTTAATAATCTAAATGTATCCTATGAGTCAGTCAGTCAGTCAGCTACAACGTAGGACCAGGCATATATATGCATCGGTCCAAGTTGCCATACCTCATTAGCACAACAAGATGGACACCGGCTTCCTAGTAGTTAATTCAGTGGTGGAAATATATAAAAGAAAGATTGCAATAAGGATATAGTACAGGGAGAAAGAATTAGTTCGTAGAAAGAAAGATATGAAGTGACTTTAATCTCTTAGTTTAAGGGAAGACAGTGAGTGTGTACACCTACGCCATTGTGATCGATTCTGAACCATGTCACCAAGAGTCTCCAACCATTGGTTACGATAGTCACGCGGACCCCAACCAAGTAGTCTGCATCTACCAACATGGCTCAGACTACAAGTTAGTGTCTTCAAACACTGATGCCACGTTTTGGTTTGGCCGCCCCTAACTTTCTTCCAACCATTTCCAACACCGGTTAGCATTGCACGTCGTGGTAATCGGTGTTCAGGCATACGTAACACGTGGCCCAACCATCTCAGTCGATGAAGATTAACGAACTCATCAACTGATTTACCATCATTCCCTAATACCCTGCCTCTAACCTCACTATTACTTACCCGGTGACCCCAGCAATATTTCTAAGGCATCTATGGTCAAATACTAATAGCTTACGAGTGTCTCCTACTCTTAATGGCCATGTTTCGCTGCCGTAAAGTAAAACAGAACGGACTGCCGCGCAGTATACTCGTCCTTTAATTGATAGACGGATATCTCGCCTTCGTCATAGGTGACGTAGGTTGGTATATGCCAAACGAGCTTTTCGAATCCGTGCTGAGATTTCGTCAGACACCAACCCATTAGGGCTGATCAGACTTCCAAGATAAGTGAAGTTGTCAACGCGTTCGACTACTTCACTCCCTATCCTTAGTTCAGGTGTTGACGCAGACCAGTCCTGAAGCAACAACTTGCATTTAGAGGGAGAGAAGCGCATTCCAAACATTCTGGCATTGTTGCTTAGTGCTACCAAAAGACTCTGCATTTTATCTGCGTCTTCACCAAACAGGACTATGTCATCTGCGTATTCTAAGTCGATAAGTGGACCTCCTGGTAGGAGATCAATACCGGAGAATGTTACTTCCATCAATAGGTCTATGATGAAGTTAAACAAAAGTGGAGAAAGTGGACAGCCTTGACGGACACGACTTGAGGTTGCAAAAGCGGATGACAGGTCGCCATAAGCTCTGACTCGACTGGTAGTATTCAAGTAAAGAGCCTAAACAAGGCTTATGTACTTCTGAGGTACGCCTTTCAATGGCAGACACTACCACAGAATCTCGCAGTCTACCGAGTCAAATGCTGCTTTCAAGTCAAGAAAGACCACCATTGTCGGACGCCAATAAGTATGCCTATGTCCTAGAACCTGACGAATGGTTAATATGTGGTCGATGCAGCCACGACCAGGTCTGAAGCCAGCTTGATTCTCTCGTGTTTGCAGTTCACGAGTCTTAGTTAGGCGTTGATAACTATCAAGGCTAGTATTTTAGATACTATATTAGTTAAACTAATCCCTCTGTGGTTGTCACAGGATGATTTTAACCCTCTCTTATATATTGGGACGATAAGTGATTGTGACCAGTCAGATGGAATAACGTCTAACTCCCAGATCTTAGCTAAAATATTAGTCAACCTAATCGCTAAAATTGGACCACCATACTTAAAGACCTCTAGAGCCAATCCGTCTGGACCAGTTGCCTTTCGTCGTCTCAGGTTAGCTATAGCCTTTTGAACTTCTGCTAGAGTCGGGGGGCCTACTTCAATGTTCCATTCACACTGTCTGGGAATGGAGGGTAGTTGTAGAGTAGCTGAAGGCCAGCTGAACTGTTCTCTGAAGTGTTCCCGCCCATCGTTCTAAACGTCTGGACCGAGAGTAGATGAGGGTGTCGTCTTTTTCCGAAATAGTCTGACTTACACTTGACTTAATAATTCCAGTATCTTTTATTAGTCTGTATCCTATGAACATGCCATTGTAGCACATCACAACCTGCTGACTAAAGAAAGCAAATAAAATGGAAGTTCGAGCTTGGAATGAAATCCTTAGGAAGAATTATGCTTTTATATGCAGTATCCTTTCACTAAATGAACGGAACAATGACCGGAAATGATTGGCGTCACGCACAAATTAAACGGATGCGATACAAATTCACGAACACTCATCTCCACAGGTAATTTATCCTTAACCATACTGAGCGGTTTAGTTGAGGCACGGATAAGATTCAAAAGGAAAACTGAATACAAGTGTAAAACAATATTTACGACGGGTTAGTGATCAGCAGTGCATAAAAGAGTTAGTGCCTTGCCAAAATACTGGACTGGTAGTGTTGGCTAGATTATACTCAACTAATACTTAAATATTGTCATACACAGTATAACAATAGTGCGAATACGCTAACACAACAGTTTTAAATAAGTAGACTTTACTGAATGAAACTTTATGGACATAATCGCAAAATCGGGCTACCGTGACCCTCCTTTGAATATCAAGAAATAATTGGAGGGAAATGATTCTAACAAGACGACCTTCGACAATTGTGATAGGGAAAAACAGCTCTTTGACAACAATTATTGATGACCACTTACGACGAAGGACTTGACAGACAGACAAGTAACAGATGACCGGTTATCCGAAGTGACCATATGCATAACTGTTAATGATGTCGAACCTCGAATTATGAACAAATAATAAACCTGCTAAGGTCGATGCATATGTAATTAATCAGTTCATATACATATTTTCGGCCTTTTTGATAACTCCAAGATTAGAGCAAACTTTTCCTTGGGATTTATAATGTGAATATATACGAAAGTCAAATCCAAGGTCTTTTGTTGAGAAAACTATGACTCACAGATATCTAGACACCCGACTGTCCGAGATTATATGTAAGCTTACATCTCATTGTTTAACAATACATAAAAATGGGGTTTTTTAGCGTTTGAGAGCAAAACAACGTATGAACCTTGATAACGCATAAGATTTACTTCCCAAATAACAAAAAACTTATTGTATGGAAGCACTTGTTTTCCTCTTAAAACCATAATAACTTGTACAAATGTTTAATTAAAATTAAAGAACCTATTTTAATAATCAAATTTAAACAATAATAATATTAGCAAGTTTTTTTTTAAAAAAACCTGTAAAGAGATTAATGTAATTAGGCAAATAGGTATATATATATATATGTATATACAAAAAAGGAATAATCGTTCCTTCTGCTTGTTTCCTTAATAGTGTTTCCTAGGTTGGTGAACCACATTGTGATTGAAAACGTTTTATTCTTTCATAAATCTTAACTGCTGGACCTAATTTAATCCCAAGTTCCGTTAGCACATCCATACGCTTCATTAATAACAAACAAGTACCATCAATTTCTTGTTGATAAAATGCTTCAGCTTCACGTGGAAAGCCTTCTTCTAATAACCATTGTTGAACATGATCAACTGACCACATACTTACATCTGTTGGACGATTAGTATTTGATGATATTTCTTGATTTTCACCATTTATAATTATATTCGATTCACTAGTATTTTCAATTTCATTTTTAATTTCTTTAATATTGCTAGTGTTATTATTATTATTATCTTCTAAACATGATTTAAGATGAAGATCTGATGTAGAATTAGACAAAATTGGTGATGTTTTATTGTCATTGTCTGCAGCATCTTGTATTGATATAGAAGATCTAAATTTTAGAAAAATACAAATGAATACGAATCAATTAATTAGTGATAATCGATATACAAATTGCAAACTCATAGATGCTTCTGTTAATGAGTCATATGTAATGTAGAGCATGGTGTATTTGTGCATCGATTTAAGCTGCCACAAAACACCAGCAAAGCGAGATGCCAGAATACTAGATGTGGTAACTGTGTCAGTAGTAGTAGTAGTAGTAGTAGTAGGAAAAACTAGGCATAGACGATACTAGTTCAGCAAGAAAATATAAATTTGCAGTATGTAAAATGTATAAAATAACAAGCCTATCAATCAAGGAGTACATCATGATTGTTAGAACGCAATATACTGTTACGCAATTGTCAATCATTATGATCATTTGATTATATAATTATTAAATGTTTTATGTTCAAGATGTTTAGTAAACCATACATCATATATAAATCGAAAATATTGCAACGAGGAATGATATGGAGAGACGAAACGGGCTATAATGTGTAACAAAATTAGAAGAACAATTAAGTTATTCTATTGTTAGGTTCAACACTAGTAGTGAATATGTAAAATTTAATTAGGAAATTATTCATGTAACGTTAATTTTAAGCCATCTGTAAATAAATGACAACACATCAACATGATAAATTTACAGAGAATATATTGAGTACTGTTGAAAATAATCCCTTATGAGGTATAAGAAACTTTAAAACAAATCTGTTAGGACACATTTTCGTCAAAATTGTTCCACAAAAATTCATTTACAAAGAAGCTACTCAGTAATATAATTTGTCTATTATTCAAGATTTTAGATTTAAGCCCCATTGGAAAGAAGTCAAATGAATTTAAATGATAGGTTAATTTGTTTGACCAATGTAACAAAAAATCCCTGACATTTTCTTTTCTTAGACAGACTAACCAAACTACTGTATATCATCATACTACAATACAATCAACAAACATGATGAAAAATTGTAGAAATCTGATGCTTAAATAAATCCAACATTTAAGATGCATCACAACACAATGTAGTTAAGAAAACACGTTCAAACAAGTTAACTAGAATTTATGACTTCAGGTGTGCTTGTGGTAGTAATAATAGTAGTCAAAGTGAAAAACGAAACTTTTTTAGACGACAGTAATAATAATAATAATAATAATAATAATAATAATAATAATAATAATAATAATAATAAAGCAATTGTTGTCAACATCAGTGAATGAAAAAACAGTATTGCTATGATTTAAAAAAATCAGTAATCATTATTGTCATATTCACGGGATTGTACAACTCACATTCAGTACAAGACTAAGAACATGACTAAAACTATTACATTTTACTACATACTTATTTCTTTTTTATAAAAAAAGACGAAACCCGACCTCACTTACAACAACTACCTACTCTATTCGCATGGATGTATGACCCGGCTGTAATGATCAACGAGATTAGTAAGTGAAACTAATTCTAATGAATATTAATTAATCGATTTACAAATCATCGATACAAGAGATAAGATACCTAAGGACAAATTGAGAACAAACAGGTAAAGCGCCGGTTGATGAGTCAATAAACATTGTTGTTTCGAAAAACAGACAATCTATGAAGAAATTGATTTCTAGAATTTTATATTGACGGCAGAAGTTTCGTTTAAATTGAGAATAAGCAAATTGTCTAGTAGTGGAGCGAACGAAGTTTCACTAGTGAAAACACTTCATGAAGGTATCTGGAAAAAAATCTAGTTAATACGGATATAACTTTTCTCAGAATACTTCGAATTGATGGGATAAAAAAGTTTATTCTAGTGTCCTTCCGCTTTCTAAACACTTGTTTAAAGAGAAATAAACACGTTGATTGGTGCAGATAAGCTGTCGTAATTGATACTGTGAGCAATTCTTCAGGTGAAGTCAGATAAAACCAACGGCCTGATTGTTACGATTACAGTTGAGTGAACGTCTGAAATTAGCTTGATTTTCTTGAGTTTGATTTTACCATAGTTCACTATGGATGTTAGATAATTATCGAACCCAATAATAATATATAACATAATCAAAAATAATTAAATGAGTAGAAATAAGTGGACTAGAGTGGTGTACGATAGAAGTTCGTTAGTAATAAACCAAATATATAATCCAGTGATGAAGGTGATAATCCATATTTAGCTAAAATCACAAATATGACAAATCAGTCACCATCTCCCGAATCCCAACCAGGAAGTTGTGGAAGACCGATTAAAAGCAGTTCCAAACAGCTTTTTCTTATCCCCCGGAGATGTCATAAAATGACCATTTCGCTTCTTCCAGTCAGTCCCAGAGTCGACGAATAATGCATGATGCGGCAGTCGCTTGGATGACATTCTTAAATGTCCAAGACACCAAAACTTGTGATTCATGATGGTGTCACCACTTGATTTATCGTCACTGTGTCAGAACACACATTTCTAAACTTTCGCATTACTAACATAAAGCTGTCACTGCATGTTAGCAATCCTTCAGAGACAATGACGGCCGAACAGAGAGTTATCAAACGTATTCTACTCAGAGAGACTAGTTGTCATAAAAATAGGGTACTATTGTTATCACTGACGCGTTGTAAATCCCAACTTTTGGAACCAGACTGATATCACGATGACATCAAAAATGAAACAAATCGGGTTATCATGCTTTGGATTTCACTATACGTAGACTGTTCTAATCACTCACACACCGATACACGAACTTTTTGACTTCTGATGACTCACCATGAAGAGTAAGTGGAGACAGTGTCCTGCCAGTAATGTAAAAGTACTTTGTAATTAGAAGGTGCAAAGAAAATACCATACCTACGAACACTAGTTGCCAACTGATTAAGTGTCGCCAAACGCCCTGGGTGAAAAGAGTTAGCACCCCCTCTCCAAATGCTCTCACATGGCCACGCGTATACAGCCACTGCAAGGGAAGTCCTGCTCACCGCCTTCTCGTGGAAGGGGTGTTGTCTACGAAATCGAGAGGACGAAAAGCGAATGTCTGGAGCTTTAACCGGGTTGGTGGATATGGAGAGTCCACCTAGGGCAGTTGAAAAACCCTCATTCCAAACCAATGGTCAACATGGACTCCAGCATCCTGAAGGAACAAATAGAGTATGAACCAAGTACTGGTAACCGGCTACCACGAGACTGCATCTCCTCACGTCGCTCCACTGCCTTGTGGACCAGACCTTTAGGTCAAAGGCTCCGGGTGTGGTCCCCCAAGAAAACCAACTGCTTCGGTCTGGGGACCTGGGCAGTATCACAGCCCACACACAAATCAATTGACTTGTGTGGCGCATATATATTCGGTGTCCCTTTGTACCAATATTTATATGTATCACAGCACAGTAAAACTATCATCCGTATACTCAGTGCAGAAGTCTCTCTGTAGGTATAGAGCCATACTACCACTAGTTAGATTCATCATAACTGTTTGCGAAATGTCATCGATATCAGAATAGAAAAGAAACAGTAATACTGAGTTGCTCCACCTAACACATCACTGGCTGAATTAATGCTTATGAGCCGTTGTGGTCGATTCTGAACCGTTACTTAGGATCATCAAATGCAAACTACTGATTAATTGAAGACCTAGGCTGAGGTTCGCACTTTCAAACACGAGTTAAACCAACATCTGTTGAATTAATCGGTTGGTATTGAGTCTTGGTCTGACCATCTACCGACTACCTCGATGCACAATGATGGATGATGTAGCAGTAGGTTGGAAGAAGGTCAGAGGCCGTCAGGCCAAGGCGTGACGTTAGTCTATGAAAACACCGATAATTGAACTAAGCCATGTACGTGTAGGTAGGTACAGACTATCTGATTGGGGTTGTTATATCCCGATAAGAATAATGAATGGTAATTCTTGGGATCCATTTATGGACCAATGCTATGAGTATATTTTTATCGTATAATTGTTATGTAACTAAACTGTTCATATTCATGTCCCTCTTATTATGAGTTTTATTTTGACCTATGAACTAGTATTATACGATTTACCATTCTTGAATTATTCCCTGTCTGTTAATTACTACCTCCCTCATTCACAGCCACTTTTCGCTAAATATTGTACAAATGTTATTTTCTATTTTATGGTACGTTGTGGTCTGTTTGATTGATATATAAACCCCGTATGTTTGAAATAAATGATTCATATTGCAGAGGCTGAGATTGGTGTTCTGGACTTGACTGGCTGGGCTAGACAGGAAGCGAAACCAACCAGGGCTCTAAGCTGTTCGCACGTGTTTTATGCGTCACTGGTTCGGTCAATAATTCGCTGCTCTCTGATTGGCGGTTCACAAGTTATAACAGGGGTTAGCTATGTTATTGCAACCGTAGATTAGACTTTGAGTGACATGGTTCAGCGTCGGCTGCAGTGGCCCAAATCCATTCACTTCATGTCTTTCCCTAGATCTTGAGTTTCAAAATTATAGAATACATTTTATTTCACGACGTCATATTTTCTTCCTGAATCATATCCATATAACCGATCTTCTCTAATATTAGGGCTTATACTATTACTGGTGATAATTTTATCTCACTATACTAATGTAGTGCAGCAATTTGAACTGACGTACGTCTGCTAGGTTCCATATTACATATGACTGACTGATCGACTGTTTAGAATAGCCAATAAGATACAAATTTTACGTAACACTGTAAACATCTGAACATTATGGAGGATGAAAGACAGAGAAAATCAGGAAAATATCAAAACATAAAACATTATCCCAAGACTAATAAACTTACTTGTTTTCATGCAGACAATCGCTATCTAACTGGACAGAATTTATTTCACATGTAGTACTATTATTATTATTTGTAGAAATAGTAGTACTATTATTATTACTATTATTTGATTCATTTAATTTAGGCGATGTAGAATAACAACTTTTAGTTGGTGTCAATGCAATCGACGAATGATCTGTGGAATTTATATCCGCTGGAAAATTTTCTTTACAAATTGTAGTGGAAGTAGTCGTTGTGAAATTCTGGCCAACTGTGGAATGTGGTGAAGATTCAACAGATTTAATAACATTTTCTTCCATACCGGACTCATCTATTTCCTGTTTTGATTCAGTTTTAATATATTCATAAGACGAATTAATTTCTTTCAACGGGGTTTTCATAAGATCATCATTACATTCTTCAGTTTTGTTAGGTGACAAATAATTTTGATTATTAATACTAGATGGTAGTGTACCAATAGCTACACGATAACCTTCATCCTGACAATTTGCACAAACCCAAGGAAGACTACGATCTATAGACTCTTCAAGCTTCGGTCGATGACACTCAATATGAAAGCCTTTGTCACATGCATCACAGATAATTAAGTCACTCTATTAAAGAGAAAAAAATTTTAAAGCTGTATCTGATATGTACAGAGTAATCATGGAAATATAATTTACCGAGTACAGATTCGGGTACTCGGCTTTGAGTTACACTTTACATGTGAGGGTTAGTGATACTACCCGGCTTCCCAAACTGTTAAAGAGTTCCAAAATATCCCTCGGAAAATTCCATAGGGGCATAGGAAAAGCTTGGAAACACTATCAAATCAGGGTTAAATAGACGATTCTCAGAAACATTTAGAAAGTGAAAAGTTACGTGTTAGTTTTCTGATTGGATGTTTATTTATACTGATATTATATTCATTATGACTCCAGAAATTTCAAACTCTATAAATACCCTCGTTTTTCTGTACATAAACTAACATTGGAGCAGAGTGTTTTTGACACTTCACGCCTCTCCTCTCGTGTTGAAGTTGCAATGTAGATTGAACCTGGCGTTATTAGAAGCGGCCAGTAAGTCGGATCGAGAGTTCATTTGGCAGACTTATCACAAGCCAAAATAGGTGGAGTTGAACTTGGATCGGAGATTTAGTTGATGGGAGCTACATGCCCTAATCCTTAAGCTATAATATGCCAGTATGACTAACCAGAAGTTCTAGTTGCCAACTGAACCAAAAAACAATATAAACTATTTTTAACTGGATTTCTGATAAAAGAATGTGCTATCAAAATATAACAGTTATCCATATGAACAATGTCGCTAAGTATAAATATTATGATAAAAAATCTATGCAATTATACAAATATCATGTGTGATAAATTAAGTATAAAGTTTATGTGATGTATTAATAAATGAATCACATTTGTGATCAATGTAAGATAATGGAAATTGTTATTTTGTATAATACTTATGCAAATTTAAGGAAAAATTTATGTAAGCTCACAACTGAAGTATATACGCAACATAACGCATTTACCAAAAGTTTATGAAAGACTAATGGAGAATAAAATGGAATGGGTAATATTCGGCAATTGATAAACTATGAATGTAAATTTTGGGTAACACCGTAACCATGCAATCTGTTTCCATAATTATTCCAATTAACTGTCCTCGATACCAAAGCAACATAAGATCGCAGAAAAAACCATAAAAATCTATTATAGATATCAACAACAGTTAATATTATCTTTTATAACACAACCATTGACATAATAAGAGTATCACTCATTTTTATCAGTGTTCTTAAATTCTTTCATGGCTAAGACAAAAGAAAATTTAGAATTTTCGAGGTATTAAGGATAGGGTCATTGGGCAGAAACTATCAGTCACTGTTCACAAAGAACTTATATCAATCTCAAAATAACAAAAACAGGATACAATAAGATTATCATAAGTGTTTTTAGTAGGAGAGCTTTCGGAAAAACGACTAAATTCACCTCTTTTTAAGAAAGTAACAAAGATTTGGAGAGCCAAACTCAATAAATTTTCTTCCATATAGTTGAAATAATATTGAAAACGCGAGTTAATCGTTAACATTGCAGGTTTTTGATAAAACCTCAATAAATGTTCGGCGTATCATTGGATCATATTATAAATCAAATCACTTGAGAAATTTTAAAACGTCATTTGTGACTAAATGTTCTCACTATTGTTATAATATAAAACACTCTCAACAGTAGAAAAATACATTTTTCCTAAATAACAAAACGATGAAACTCACTTTGTATTCACTACTATTACAAACTGTACAAGTTTTACAATCTGAACACTGCCATGGAGATTGACGTGCACGTTCTGTTAATTCTGGCCAATAATCTAAACAGGTTGGGTGAGCTGTAAAATAAAATTTTAAAAACAGAAGAGATAATGATGTGAGTATTACTTTGCAACGATATTAAAAAAAACGAACTTCAGAACTGAAAACAACTGAGATAATTAGAATAAAGTAAGACAATTTACAATGGGAAAACAAATAAATAAACATAAGAACTTTCAAAACTCTGATTCCAAAGTCCCACCAACTACATTATCTTGAAAGTTGGACTGTTTACAACCACTTGTCTTGAATATCCAATCATTGACATCAGCACCATTTTGATTTTTATGTTTTTTTGTTACTAAATTCAGTGGAGAATTACCACTAGCACTATAACATGAATTCAGTTGTTTAATTTGTAAATGATAGTTAGATTGCAGATTGTTTTTCACGCTCGACAATCTTGATGAAGTTGACTTGATAATAAGATTTTGATTTGATCCCAGTTCATTTGATAATGAATTGATTTTAGATTGTCTCCGCTGTTTTATTTGTACAGCAGTATATGCTAAAGTCGACTCAATTTTACGAAGAATTGTAGCCAGTAGATCTGGTCCAATTGGACGGCAATTAAACCATGAATTCTTCGTTGAACAATTTGTTTGCCATGTTAGAAAATAGTTATTCTTTAGTGATTGACCTATTGAACTGTCAACAAAACCAATTATCATTACAATATATATTCTATGTATTGATGTAGTATAACGTCAAGTGAAAAGTGACGAAAACTGATCAGTGATAAATTCATCGATTGTGCAAATGAAAATTTAGAACAAACAGTATATATCACTTACCTAAGTCTTTTGGACACATAAAATTCATGATAACAAACAATACAACGTTCATGATTATTCAATGAATTATGATCAAATATAAAATTGATTCCTGAACTAGTAGTAGTCAGTAGTTGTTGTTCGTTTGTGCCTGATCGAGGCAATAAAATACTACTATAACGACTTATTTTATTCTGTAATTTAACATTTTGTTTCACTGTATAATCTCGTGGTGTATTCCCATCTAAATAATCGAAATATGAATGAATGTTTTGATCAGACACATTCGTCACAGTTGTTCTTGGTATTGGTGATGATAACGAAGATGAAGAAGACATTGAAGTGATTGATTTCGCGAGTAAAGAACAGCTTGAATCTGGTCTATATATTAAGCCAGAATTTCCATTTTTATCATTTATACACTTGTTAGATGACATTATTGGATCGTCTTTCAGAGTTAAATGTGAAGTGTCCGGTTTAATTTGATTGTTATTGATCTCGTCGTCGTTATTATCATTGAAATAAACCACTTTTAATTGACTATTCAATCCAAAGCGTAACTGATGCAATTGATGACTGTTACGTAAATGAAGTAATTTAGCAAATAAGTAAATTAATGTGTAAATCAGTTGTTGAGCATTCTTCTTGCCGAAAAATTGTGATTTCCACAAGAAGTCTTCTTCAGGAGATGAATAATAAACCGTATTCATATACGTTAGATTCGTTGGAATTAAGTTTGCAGTAACATAGTTTGGTAAAACGTCTATTTTAAAAGATGGAGTGATTACACTTGTATTGGTACTGGTAACAACACTACCAGGTTTTGAAGCAATGATGAAGGATTAAGAATTGGTGGTTTATTTTCACAAATCGAAGTGACCTTCTGTTTCCTACTAGAGGATTCATATATAGTAGAGGAAACATTTGTCGATGATATTGTGTGAATGGTGGTCTATCATGGTAGGGTATAGGCTTGATATCTGACCTGATGTGATGAATTGATTGTATTGCAGCTGTATTACAGACAGATTTGAAACCTAGCCTGGTGTTAAGTAATAAAGTGTTTGGATACTTCCGTAGATGATTTGGTAATATTGGTCTGCGTGTGTACCCACTGACCTTCGGACTGCATTCGATGAACGTGGAGCATGATTTGTCGTACACTGTGGTGACTTAAAACAGACGACGCGGCATGAGTGATTACACCATGACTGAAAGGATAAGATAATTGTTCACAGATAGTACTAGGCGTAAACCCTAAAGAATGAGTTAGTTGAGTAAGTACAGTCGTCGCACAAGAAGAAGATTGATGTTCCTGAACTGAGTTTAAAGTACTTTTAGCATCACATTTGGTTATTATATTATTATTATTATTCGAATGGAAAAACGACGGATTTGTGTGATCGGTTGTATTTACTTCAACCATTACTGTACTAGTGTGATTTTGTGACTTGCGTTTCCGTGGTTCATGCTTAAATACGGTAGTTTTTAAATTATTTTGAGTTTCCTCCTCAACTTGACTGACATTTTTAGAATCTTTTGAACTGTTTGTCGACGAATGTGTAAATGGTAACGGATAACTTCCAGACACTTGTACTATTTCACTACAAGAAGTGTGGGCCGATACAGAAGCGTAGCTGTTACATTCTGAAGATGACCTTTGTGTAGCATTTGGGTTTGGAAATATTACATCGACTGACTCAGGAAGTTTTGAGACAACGATTGTGGACGTCTCTGGAGTTTTAGTTGGTTTAGTCAAACCAACACTCGAACTAAATGAGGTGTTGAATAGGTTCTCCCCACATATATAATCCAAAGGGAAAGACTCAGGTCTCCAAGGTACATTGGAAGAAAGTTCAGAATTCCCAGAAAAATTAGAGGATGACACGTAAGGTTTAGTAGATGAACAAAAAGCCTGAACATATTGATCAGGTTTATCTGCCATAAAACGAGATCTAATATTTTGGTGAGTGTAATTTATGGAGGGAGTTACATTCACCTGGTTCCCAGCACTAAATAAATTAACACAATCAATTTGGGGATGTGAACGCACCAGCTTGTGGTCGAAACGAAGTAAAGGGACTAAACTTGTCGGGTTTACCAGTCGACTTTTCTTCTTTTCATGAGAATGCTCAAAAATACTAGAACAACTAAGATCATAACCAGCAAAGTGTGGTAAATGAATTTTCGAAGGAACAGACATAAAAGTAGTTGAACAGTAAGCTCTCTTCTGAACACTAGTTGATGCTGTTAAAGTACTTGAAAGTGGAATTTCGTCCGCAATACATTTTTTAGCTGTAGAACTTGTAGAATGTTCCTCTTCTAGACACTGGCTGGAGGACATACGATTACAGAATTTGATTTTGACAAGCCATTATTATTCATAACGAACCGAAATATTGAAAAATTTAAATTGATGTATGGTATAGACTGAACTAATCCCCAAATTCACTTATTGGCTGAATTAATATTTAAATTCAAATCATTGATTATTAACGATTAACGTCAAAGTTGGTGGGAGTGGATTCCAAACTCCTAATATATATATATATATATATATATATATATATATATATATATATATATATATATATATATATATATATATATATATATATATATATATATATATAAACACAACATTAACAACAAAACCGATAAACATACAGTATAATCATCATTCAAAATATTAACTAACCGTTAAGGCCACAGTCCTTACATAAAAGAAAGGCTTCTTCACATGTTGGTGGACCACCACAACAATAACAAATAGGACCATCTTTCTCTTCCTGTTTGTCGACTGTATCACAGTTCGTGTCAGACATGAATGAATCAGGTGTTAATACATTATCAGGTTTTAAAGGCATAGTTAACTGAGGATTGGTAAAATCATGCGATAAATTCGATGTATTAGAAAACAACGGTGGTAACGATAAGCTTTGAGATAATGGAAAAGACAAAAACGGAGATGAAATAGTCGTCATAAGAGAAGAATCGATAGGTATACTTGATGCTGCAGAAAAATGGGTAGGTAGAATAGTTCCAGGTAAGATATTTGGACAATTACTGCTGGAAGAAGCAATTACAGTGATAAAAGAACTAGAAGGTAGAACTGAAATTGTTGAAGAGAATGGAAGTTCATTTGTTGTATGCGAAGTAAAACATGATGTTGGAACTAGGTTACTTGAATTTGTATCAGATATATATAAGGAAGAATTATTTAATCCATTACATGTATTGGAATCTACTCCACCTGGAATAGTTGTGTTTCCGTATGCAGTCGAAGAATTTTCAACTCTTATTTTCTGAAAATAATATATTTAAAATGAATATTGAGAAGACTTTTATATTAAACGATTTACAAGAATTTAAACCCCTTAAAGACAGAACTAACATAGATTGTAACTAACCCATTACAAGTGGTCTGAAAGGTGGAGATGAGATGGAAAAGACAAAACCGAACTTGAAAATTATTCACTAATTTTCCATTACTTATGTAAGAAATTTTAGTTTGATTTCTAAACCCTATCAAGTATGTACAGACGAAGGAGAAAGATGTTAAACAACGAGTTTTTCCTGTATTATTACAACTAAAATTACTAAAGTTCTCAGGGATAGATTGGGTAAAATTCGCTAAAACATCAATAAGAATTAATGCACTATTAGAATTCTATTGTAAAAGTTCAACCACCATAGTGTAGTGTATACTATTTGTGTCGACAGACATATTTTTCCCAGATGCCCTGGTACAGTCGAGAGTGGGGAGTCTGTTCTCCCTCTTCAAATGCTCTCACATGGCCACGTGCATACAATTACTGCCAGGAAAGTCCTACCCACTGACCTCTCGCGGCGGGAGTGTTGTTTACGAAATCGAGAGGACGAAAAGCGAATGTCTGGAGCTTTAACCGGGTTGGTGGATATGGAGAGTCCACCTAGGGCAGTTGGAAAACCCTCATTCCAAACCAACGGTCAACATGGACTCCAGCATCCTGAAGGAAAAAATGGAGTATGAACCAATTATTGGTCACTGGCTACCACGAGACTGCATCTCCTCACGTCGCTCCACTGCCTTGTGGACCAGACCTTTAGGTCGAAGACTGCTGGTGTGGTCGTCTAAGAAAGGTCACACGGGCAGTATCCCAGCCCGCACACAAATTGAATGATTTGTGTGGCACATATATATTTGATGCCTCCTTGTACCAGTGTTTGTTTAAATAATAAATAAGTTTGTAACACCAGTCAGATGTATTTATTATTTATTCATCTTTATTTGAATACGTTAATATTGGTACAATGGGGCACCAATTGGGGCATACCAATCAGATGTGGAACCCCTGGCAGCAGAAGGCTGGGAAGATCAAATCGAAGAGAATGGAAAGGAATCGCGAATAGGAAGAATCATACAAAATGTGAAGGACAAATGATAGACATTTGTAAAAAAAGTCACTCAATGTACGGTTCACATATTTTACCAAGATATTCTGTAACTTTGTATCAAAATACATGGGTTGACCCCAGTTGTTTCGTTCACAACAGCAGTAAGCTTTAAATAGGCATCATAAAGACTGAAGACGAATTTCTATAGCCCGAGTCACAATAACAAAAATAACCAATTTTATTTCTCCTTCTTAATAACAGTACCACAAAAAGTCTACTTCAGATCGATGTTTGGAAAGTCCTGAAAAATTAACAAATTGTTAAAATCCATAAACTGATTTTAGTCTATGAAGTTTAAAGAAGGCTGAATGAGTAATCTTCCAAAACCTAAGTTCAGTTATTACTGAATTGATACCCAAAGAATAGTCTGAAGACCGAACAAAAATTGTGAATATATTATCCATAAAGTTATCAATGGTGCCGAAGGTATTCTAAGATCCAGGAGAAGAATAAAACCAAAGGTAAAAGTCAATATCAAAACAAATCAAGTACACATAATACTGTCCATTCTTTTGAAACCTCATCGATCCATTGTTGAATATTAGGAAAAAACATGTATATACTAAATGTTCTGTGAATAATGAACTAAACTAGACGTTTCTGAATCAGTAATTATATAAATATGGAAAATAGACCAAAGGAAATCCATAAGTTGTAAATAACTTAAATTCTAGAATCCGTGCATCACAGTACCAAAAACATTAGTACAGCCCAGTATTGACATGTGAAAACAAATTTTACAGCTGTCTACTTAAACATGAATGACAAAAGTGTGAAGACCTAAGAAAAATTTACAGCCAGATTTGTGTACATTGTCTTCAAGATATTAAAATTAGGCAACCCTTGTATGATGGTCATGGCAGCAGTTATAGATGTCTGAAAATTGTCTGAGATATAACAGCAGTAGTAAAACCGCAAAAATGATATCCTTACGGAAAAAACTAACACTTACCGACAAGCATGTTATTCCGATTATAAGCCCGTAGATCTTTAAATCATTTAAGAGTAATTGACTACATTTGGAAGAAAACTAACAGTTTACAGAAAGTAGATGTTTGGCAATATACCAAGTAATTTTTACATGTGTTTGTTGTCACTAAATGCAAGCATCACAGTGAATATACACAGGATACCTTATCAACAGACTTGGACCGTTTCAACGGTTCGAGAAGCGCCCTACTTCCGGAGAAACTTATTTTTAGAATAAATAATATGTACCTAATCGATAAACCAATCAAAACATGTGACCTGGAAAGTTACCAGAATTTTAAGACAGGATAGGTTAAGTCTTGGTTTAAAACCTAATAAAGACTAGAAAAAACCAAACGATCGATATTTTCTTGTTTGTGGCCTAGAAAACGTGAATCAACGATTCATATGACATATGTTAATTCTGATTGGTCAAAAAGTCGATAAGATAATAAACGTAGGAGGACAGATATAAATCGGATAATGACATACAGTAAGCGTATTGGCCTCAGAATAAGTGCGCGAAAAGCAGGACGATGTATTCTTTTGACGGACTAACCACTGAAAGAAACGTACTGAAGAAAACCATCTTGTTCTCGTTGATACGATGATTTCTACGTTACACTACTTGCCATTTGATAGTTTTCGAAATACGCTGGTTCAACAAGAGAAAAAACTACACAAGTCTTGACAGTAAAGAGGTATATTTAGTTGAGACTCCAGGTATCTACGTGGTTAACCTAAAGTATACAGCCGGACTAATGAGAAACGAGAAATGTTATGGCACATACACCGAAATAGAATTAGCAATTAATGTTAGGGTTTCCATCACAAACTAGCAACAGCAATCATAGGAAAAGCCTAAACACATCACAATAAGTCATCCACCTATCATTCCAACCTCCTGATTGTCCGGAAACAGTTAACATATCAAAATCACTCGTCCAGGTTACTCTATTCTTGTTATGCTTGGTAAACTTCCTGGTTGCTTTTATTTTATGTGACGTACCAACTGGTCTGTACCTATTTATTTATTCCGTATGATCTCGTGATGATGGAATGGAGTGTTACATCCAACTTAGGGGTACTCTGACAATTGTTCATCAGCAACAGAAAAGCAGATTATAAGTATGTAAATAATGTGACCACGTATGGGTATCTGAAAAACAAGACGACCGCTATGAAGAAAAGATATTCATGGCTTATACCCACTAAATAGTCTAACATCTCGCGTCTCACAAGTTATTAAAACATCGATGGAATTTGTTTGAGAATACAGTGCTTTTCTAGCTTACTTAAATATAGGAAAAAGAGGAGTCACATAGAACAGAATAGCAGGTAAAAATAGTAGGAAAAGGTTATGACGAAAGTAAGAGTAAGAGCAGTCGTGCGAGATGTATTCAAAAAGCATCCATCCTTACTTACGGCAGACAAGATTATGAAACTTCACCCAATTAACAATGGTTTTGTTTCTAGATCACACGTGTTATTTTACGTATTTTTATTTGATACACAATCTGATACAACTGGAAACCAAAAGCCTATACGCAACACAAATAAAAAGATAAAACAGAGCAGAAATAAAGAACGGAGTGGGAGTAACGTTGAAAAAGTGAACAAGAATATTGTGTTAAAAAGTATAGTCCAGGTGAAAATAAAACCCGGAAAGACCTCTTTAAGTTAGGAGAGTTCCTCTCAGTTTTATGAAGAATGTAAAAGTAAACTATGGTAGGACCACTACTGACTTCTATTTTGAACAATGTCTGTTAGCATTTCAAGCCACTGAGTAGCGCCATTTCTAGGACCCCGACAAGAGTCATGACAGGTTAAGATATGACAACCACGAAGTCGTATGATAGACTGACCACCTCCACTTTCTCCAAACCGTCCCAGAGTCGATAATTGATGCACGCTGTGGAAGTCACAGCGACGATATTCGTAACACATATCCAAGACACCGAGGTCAATGTTTCAAGATAGTGACGCTGACTGGATAATCGTTATTGTACCTGGACCTCAGGATTACTAACACGGTGTTGCCAATCGGTGTCAGCAATCATTAGAAGACTATGATGACCCTTCATTCAGTGAAGTTCCTCTCAACTAATCCTAGCAGGACCGTTTAGTACTTCATATGTAAGACCCTGAAACATCACGAATCACACGGGATGGAAACAACAGTCACAATGTCTTGAGGATGGAACTACTGGTCGTATAATGCTATTTAATGCTTGAAAATACTTTGAGAAAGTCCTATATTACGTAACCGATATTGCTACCAGGTTTCAAAAAACACTTTGGAATCATCGACGATAAAACACTAATCAACCTCGACTCATGAAGGCCAAGCTTTGAAAGCATAAAACAGTATTAAGTGGACCAACGTTTTGCATAACTAGCGAAAAATGTCAGATTTCTCCAAAAGTAGTCCAGACGTAGAAAGTCAGTCAGTCAGCTACAACGTAGGACCGGGCACATATGTGCATCGGTCCAGGTTGCCATACCGCATCAACACAACAAGATGAACACCGGATTCATAGCAGTGGTTAGGTCAAAGGTGGTAATATATAAGAGAGAGATTGCATATAGAAATATAGTACAAGAAGAAAGAATTGGTTCGTAAAAATAAAGATATGAAGTGATTTTAATCTCTTAGTTTAAGGGAAGACAGTGAGTGTGTACACCTACGCCATTGTGATCGATTCTGAACCATGTCACCAAGAGTCTCCAACCATTGGTTACGATAGTCACGCGGACCCCAACCAAGTAGTCTGCATCTACCAACATGGCTCAGACTACAAGTTAGTGTCTTCAAACACTGATGCCACGTTTTGGTTTGGCCGCCCCTAACTTTCTTCCAACCATCTTCAACACCGGTTAGCATTGCACGTCGTGGTAA